TGTAGCAAGATAAGGTCACCACCAGAACAATAATAATAAGGAGCAAACTGCTCTGACATAGGACCAATGACCAAAGATTTTATCACTTCATTTTTTTAGAATAACCTGAAAAGAGCCGCTTTGTAGCTCCCAGGAACAGGAACCCAAGTACCGCCAATGGCCAACTCGAGTACTGTTACTTCCTATTCATTTGGGTTTAGCCCTCAGTTCTTCTGCATTTGACTCCACATATACAAACTAGGTGCTTGAGAAATATTTGCTGCTAAATGAATGAAAGAGAAATTTATCACACCCATCCTGTCATCTCCAAAGTCCATATTAACAGCTACATGAAGAAATTAGAAATGAAAACTTCAAATGTTTCAGTACTCTTCTATATTAGTTTAGTTCTCAAATGTCTAAGAGATTTCCAAAAGAAATAAGGCAATAAAAATAATTTTTTACACACAAAAAGTCCTCTTTCCAGTAATCATTCCGGTTTTTTAATTTCAGAATGAAAAGAATATTGGAAATACTTGTCATATTCTCATACTCAAACGGGACTGGAATTACACTTTCAGATAGAAGAAATGACGTCAGTGACCCTGTGCTCACAGCTATCACTGCAAATGTTATTCTAGGGGACTCTGTAACGGGCCTTTACTTTGAATTTTTTCTCTGTACAAAGCTCAAATAGCACTGAATCTTCAGTTTGCCTCCATGAAACCACTGTTCTCTACCAAGGCTTTAAAAGTAGAAATCTGTATTTCCTGGCAAGGATCAAAATCAAAGACTCTCAGCTACAGGTCTAGATGCCCTCTCTCTAGTAATGTGAGCATGACTCAAAGACAGATAAAATTTATAAATGAATCTCTGGGGCCTCTGTAAACATCACTGCATGTAGGAAGGTTTCTGCTTCTAATGGGAAATGTGGAATTAATGGATCGTGGTAGCCATCCTTCCATGTTGGCATAATTGAATGAGCAGAGAACTCTTCCCCAGAAGAAATTCATTTTTTTCCTCTCTCTTCTGGTCTTTTTTTTTTTTTTTTTTGGTCCTTTCTTATATTTTCTCCCAGATTTTCTTCTTCCCTGCTTTTTTATACCAATGTAATTATCACCAGTCACTTGGCTGATATTTATCACCCACAGTATATGGTGGCAATTGGGAAAAAAATTGCATCCAATAAGATGATCTAATGCAATTTCTGGCATGTGACAGACACTCAATCCATATTATTTTTGCTTTCCTTCCCTTTATGAACTCCAGTGTACAAGCCAGCCATTCATCAAATATTTGAGCTACATCTGTTTTTAACTGTAGTACTGTGTTGTATGGAGAATTAGAAGTATATAATGTAAATTTTTGTTCTATTCAAACAGTTGATAGGATAAAGATATTATTTACATATATTTGAAAATTATATACCAATTTATGTTTTTTGGGTTTATTTTTGTAGAGACAGAGTCTCACTTTGTTGCCCTTGGTAGAGTGCCGTGGTGTCACACAGCTCATAGCAGCCTTCAACTCCTGGGCTTAAACGATTCTCTTGCCTCAGCCTCCCCAGTAGCTGGGACTACAGGAGCCCACCACAACACCTGGCTATTTTTTGGTTGCAGTTCGGCTGGGGCCGGGTTTGAGCCCGCCACCCTCGGAATATGGGGCTGGTGCCCTACTCACTGAGCCACAAGCACAGCCCCCAATTTATGTTTTATATGACATAACATATCTATAGTGAAAAGAGGTTTATTTTCTAAAACTGTCAATGAAACATTTGATACACACCTACTGTAATAATAGACTCAAGAGTGATCAAACTTCCACTTGAAGTGCATCACAGTTCTCGCAAATATGTGGCCTTATCCCTTTGATTACAAAAACAAAATATTAACTGTATTCCTCTATGATTATCTTTTTGTTAAAATTTGTTCTAGTTTTCATAGTTCCTTTGTTCTGTAAGAAATCCCATTCTGGCAATTTACTTGGTATTTAAAACTTAGATTGAAGGAAAACTATGAACTTCCACATTTGTTCTTTTTTCTTTCTTTCACTAAATTCTGTCGTTTTCTAATGCAGAGCTTTTGTGACTCACAGAGCCAAATTTAAGAACTGTATCAATCTGAGATTTCTTTACCAATTCCAACAAAATACAATGTCTCCGCATTGAAGATTCTCCAATTCCCAAGAAGCGAGATTCATGTGCTGCTCTCTTGAAAATTTGTCCCACTTCTTCTAATTCAGTAAAGATATTGGCACAAATGTGAAGCCTTGTAAGAAGAAGATAAAGCCAGTGCTGGTCCCCCTGAGGAATTATTTTGGAATAAAGCTTTATGGTCTTCCACTTAATTCATATTTAATAGGCCATCTCTTCTGCCTTCATTAGGGAGAAACAAAAATGATAAACAAACGCTGCCTATGATGAATAATATTTAATTACACACCCTTTTGTTTGGCTTTATTTTTTTGCCTTCTGGGAAAAATACATATTTAAACACTAGTTCATGATGGCAAAATTGAAATTTACTTTTACCAAAAAAATTGAAATTATGTCACTGGTAGCAAAAGATTCAAATTTAAAATTTTTATGTGTTCCATTATTTAATTTCTAGATAGCAACAGAAGGAAGGATTTTTTTTTTTTAAACATGATTGATATCACAATAGAATTTATTTTTTCTTGAAAAGGACTGTTTAAAATTCCAGGAAGGCTAAAGTGCCACAAAATAATCAAAAACTGCACATCATGGTAAAACTTTTCAGCTGTTATTGAAAACAAAAGTATAATTACACACAGGGAAAAGATATTATCAGCAGAGAAAAATGCCTTAAGAATTCATTGTATTTTTCCAAACCGATGGACACGAGTGAGCTCTAATATCATTGTGTTTAGAAATAGCTTCATCCAGATCCAACTGTACACCATTAATATTCATTTCCATGCAGCCATTATAAAAGGCATTCACTGGTGTGGCATTGAATGGAACATCTGTAAAAACAGAATATCGGGCTATCAGTCCAATAATTTTAGCAACTAATTTGTTAATGGTTAGAAGAGTCATTCAAACTTCTCATTTCCAACTAAATCTTAATCTTAAAGGAAAAGTTAATGATGTAACTATTTAATAAATATACATTAAGTAACTCCTACATAGAAGGTATCGTGTTTGGCACTGAATTCGGTATATCACGACTTCCTCTGATTTCAGAAACACAA